TTTCATTGCATCAATTCTACTTCTTTGCCCTTTCAATGTGTTATCTATTTCTGACAATTTAGTATTAATCTTCTGGATTTCTATCTGTAGATTTAGAGTCATTTCTAATTTTTCATTTATTTTGTCATTTTGTTCTTATATTTTCTTCCAAAATTCTTCTAGGGTTTTTTCCTGTGTTTTCCTTGGTCTGTCTCTCAATCCTTTGAAGATACTTAAATATAATTCTTTGAATTCTTTATCAGGGAGTTCCAATGCTGCGTCTCCCTCAGGGATATGTTTGGGGTCTGTATCCTAGTCTCTTGCTTCTCCTGCTTTATCTTGCCTCTTTGTTGCTCTGTTGTCTCCGAAGCATTGTAACGTTTTTGTGTTTATATTTAATTGGTGATTATATGTTGGAGTGACTTGCCCACAATTTTCATTTTGTTTTGTTTGTATGTTATCTATATAGGCAGAGTACTGTGCTGTGCTCTTCTACTCACTAGTTGACAGCACTTATACACTCACTACCTGTCTCCTTTCCTGTTGTCAGCCTCTCATACGTCCTTGCCGACCCTGGCAAACAGCCTGTTTTTAGGTCCCTGGAATCCGAATGAGAATGCTATCACTTAAAATCCAAAATGGTTGCCACTTGTAAGCATTCAAAATGGCTGCACCCTCGGTCACTTTAAATATCCAAAATGGCCACCTTCAAAATGCCTGTGCCTTCAGTCACTTCAAATATCCAAAATGGCCACCACTTGTAAACATTCAAAATGGCTGTGCCCTTGGTCACTTTAAATATCTAAAGTGGCTGTGCCCTCCGGATAGCAGAAAGTCCACAGCTCTGGTTGTCTCCCTCCTTGCTGTTTCCCTTTCTAGTCATAGGCCACCAGAGCAGTTGTCCTTGCAGCCCTTGGTGACCGGGACTGATCTTTAAGTCAATTTTCAGGTCCCAACATCACTTGGAAATATTCAGGCTGTTGGTCTCGTCAGAGTGGCTGACAGTCTGCAGCTCCGACCGTCTCTGTACTCACTGTTTTCATTCAGGTTTTTCCACTTGTTCGTGCCTAATCCACTTCTCTGTAGTTCTTTTCAAAGCTCGGGGTTCCAGGATTATCTTCTGTACCTCTGTCCAAGCCACAGTAATTTCAATCATCTCACATGCATGCAAAAGCTGGAAAACAAATAAGGAAGACTAAAGAAGAATTAATGTCTTTGAATTACAGTGTTGGGAAAGAATATTAAATGTTAAGGTTTTTATCTTTAGGATTTTTAGTTAAGTAAGTTAAGTATTGTTTCTCAGTAGCCTATGATAAACTCCTACCTAGCTCAGCAATTACATGTTGATGGTTTCCCTCTTCTGGGATGATTGTCTTTGTTTTGTCTTTATCCTGTTTAAGAGTTAATAAAAGGGTTATGAGTTTTAGAATAATAGCCAGTTTATAGTGTAAATCTATTCTTTGCTAAAGTAACTACGAGTAGTCCTGGATTTATGACAGGGCTCCATTTTGACAATTCAGGAATTGGTTCTGACATAAGTCGAATATCTATCTTTTTTTTCAGTTTTCATTATCATTGCCTTTTATTATCAATGTCTTCATAAATCTAATCTTTACTTATCTTTTGTGGTTAGAAACATTATATATAAATTTACAGATATATTTTAATATACATATATAAAAATATACAAGTCATAAAAATATACTTCAATGATGAAGAATAAGTGTATACAATGTTGGCATTTTGTAAGTTGTGGTGATACCTCCTTGTGGAAGGTTCTGGATCATCTGGTTTATCCCTGGGAATGGGGATGGCATTTTTAGTCAGAAAATTGATGTTATTTGTCTGTGTGGTCCTTTTCTTTCCTTCTTTATATATTCCACAGTAACATTTCACTTCTTCCCGACTCTGCCTATTGAATTTAGCAGAGCGATCAGCATTTGGGTCCATGTTTTCAAGCAACTGAAGCCTCTGATTTAGTTTAGAAAAAACCCAGCTGATCCTTTCAGTGTAAAATTTTTCAGTAACTTCTCTTCTGCTTCTTCCTCATTATTACTTTCTTCTTCAGCTTTTCTTTCTTCTTAAAAATCCATCAAGTCCTGATCTGTCAATTTTCCTTCTTCAGGATCTACGAGCTATTCCACATCGTGATATCAATAATTCAGCTTCAAATTAATAACTGATGCTTCTGAATAAGATCACACTGCAGGCCAAGTCTACAAGGAATTTGGCATCAGTATCACAACAATGAAGTCAGAGTCATAATGGCTGTCGGGCAAGTGCACAGTTCACAAATCCTGGTAAAGTTGAACACTGTCCAACTCTCTGTTATGACTCCTGACACCAACTTTATTGTATACCAGGCCATAACCTGCTATACAGCAGTGTTTAGAAATGTAAATCATAACAAAGAACATCTAAGAATGATAACATCAGCAAATTAGGTGCTACAACATTGTTGTGTTGTACCTAATTACTAACAGTAAGATGTATGAAAACAAATGGTCATTAGTGCAGCTCACTGTAACTCAAATATGTCGTAAGCTGAAACAACTTGTATTGTGGATGTATGTGTAATCACCTGCTTGTCCACTGACTGTGCTGTGCAATGTCCACATACTGTTAGATTTAATGCACTGTGCCATAAACTGAGAAAGTTTAGAAGCAGTAAGAAAAATCTGAATACCCAATAGCACTATCCAGGCTGGCCCATTGTTGCTCAGCACCTTAAATGCTTAAATGGCTTTAAGAAGTCACTTCTCTACAGGAGAACATGTCAGGTTCCCCCAACAAGGCAGGTGCAGGAAAGATCTAGAGTTCACCGACTACTCTTTCTGAGCCCCCTGCCCTACCCTTTCTACCTCATACTCCACTCTCTCCACTTCCCTGGCCATTACTCCTGTTATAAATCTAAGATTTTATCATCAGTTTGCCCCTGTAGCTCAGAGCACCATCAGCCTCTTCTAGCTTTTGACTTCCTTTCTTCTCCTTGGCTTACTACATCAAAAGTTGAGTCTCACAGGAACCACCTTTCTGTGTAATGCCACTAATGGCCCACCTGGTTGGCCCCAGGCCGGTATACTCTTTAAAGAAGAAATATAATGCTCTAACCTCTCTCTTCTCACTCCCCTGCCCACTTGCCTGAGAGATGACAGTGAAACCGTAGGCCACGTTTGCCATACTTTCACAGGACACAGCTGAAATGACAAACCACTCTCAAAACTGTGGGTGGTAACCTCAACTTACCAGCATAACTTGGCTGATTTACATTTCCACCTTTTTTTATACAATGATGAACAAGATCAACATCATTTTGCAGAGCAGCCCTATACAGTAAGTTTTCTCCAAAAATGTTTTTCCGGTTAATACTAGAAAGATACATCTTATTCATCTTCATTTTTTCTGAAATGAGAGAATGAACAAAACAAAACAGCAATCTTGGTTTGGAAATCAGAAGGAACAGAGGTAACAAGGTGAGTACAGTCCGTACCCTGGGAGTGAGGTATATTATGAAAGAGTATTTCATTCATTAATCCAATTGTAATGGTATCTACACATAAAAAGATTAGGTAATGACATTTGTCTCTTTTTAAAATGTTTGTAGTTATTTACATAAAGAAAATAGAGAAATACTCAAAATATGCCTCACCATTTTTTGCTGCAAATTTGCTTTTCTTGATCTGTTCTCCACTCTTGAGTCTAAATGAATGGACATTCTTCCTTTTACCTTCAGTTGTTAAAGCAGAATCCTGCATGCTAGAAAAATAAATGTTTGGTTTTTTTTTTAATGTACTCTACAAACATTCATGGAGGATCATACCAAATATTGACTAAGATTTTAAAACTCAAAGGTATTTTACTGAGCTGCTTCCATGTGGCAGGTCAGTTTTAAACATATAGATGGCTCCTGAGTAACTGCAGGTTAATTCTTTGACAGGCACAGCAATATTTATGGCTTCCAGCTTTCTCTTTGTGCTGCCTATGGGTTTCTCTCCTCTAGGGACAGTCACTTACAAGTACAAGCATTCTGAGTCTCTTACTCCCCCCCCCCCACACACACACCTCCTAAGTTGACATGCAACTATCTATTCCTTTTATCTCCTAGGGAAAAAAAGAAGGCAGGTTCTTTTTAAATAAAAAAGGGTTTGACATATGGTATGACACCGATCAAAAACTACAGAAATAAAGCACCCAAAACTAAAACAGTCCCTGGATGGCACAAACAGTTAAGTGTTTGACTACTAAACAAAATGTTGGTGTTTCAACCCCCCCCCCCAAGAGGCACCATGAAAGAAAGGCCTGACAATCTGCTTCTGAAAGGTCACAGCCTGGAAAACTCTAAGAAGTAAAATTCTACCTTGCACACATGGGGTTGTCATGAGTCCAAATCAACTCAATGGCAACTGGTTTGGTTTTGGTTTTGGTACACTGACACTTTTTCTCCAAGCACAGAATTATCTACAAGGTCTTTGGCATTATATCTAAAGAAAGAGTGGCTGGTGGGTTCAAACTGCTGACCTTTGGTTAGCAGACAAATGCTTTAACCACTACACCACCAGAGCTCCTTTGGAGGGGAAGATATAATTTAATAATGTACCTAGAATTCTTAGTTAAAGATCTGTTATTTTTTCGACGCTTGAAGCTAAGCACTTTTGGTAAATTTTTTTCTGGCATCTTATACACATCATCTGCGTGCTTTCCAGCTCTGTCTGCTTTCCATTTTTTCAGTCTCAATGATCTTCTTAACACATGTGGAATTTCTTGGTCACAGATATTTTCCACTGGATTTGAATCCTCCTGATTATTTAGTTGATCACAAGAGGTGACATTTGGATGAGCCAAAGTTTGCAATCCAAGTGGATCGAGGCCTTCTTGAGTCTGTAAAAAGATGTAAATACATCTACAAATAATTATAACACTACAAAAAATGTACAACTAGAAGAAATTAAATTTTGTGTGGTCCCTTTGATTAAAGTAAATTCTTATTATAAGATGAAAATATATGGATTCATACAAATGTGAATACAGTAAAAAATTATAATAATGCAATAAAGGACAATGTAGATTCAAAAGCCTAGGATAAGAATAGCATAAGTAAAAATTATTTTCATCAATATTCAGCCTTAAAATTCAAGGGCAAACATAAAGTCACTGTAAACTCACTGCCATTGAGTAGTGAGGAACGGTGGGAGAGCCATGAAAACGTAAGAAATGTCATAGTTGGCCAGATCAATGGTCTACTCAGCCTGGTATTTTGTTACTGACAGCAGCAGTACATGATATTTTGTGGGACAAGCTATTACATAAGTTCCATTCCATTGATTTTAAAAAGTTAACAGTATATTATGAATGGTTCTAACTTACCCTTAATAATCCATTATAGATTTAACTTCCATAGAGGGTATTTATTTTTTATACATATCATTTAAACCTTTCCTGAGCTTACTTATGTACTCAGCTTATAAAGCCTCAAGGTAACAATTCCGTATTTTTGTCATTAGGTTCCATCGAGTTGGTTCCAACTCATAGCAACCCTACGTACAACAGAATGAAACACTGCTCAGTCCTGCAGCATCCTCACAATCATTACTATGATTGCATCCACTGTGCAGCCATTGTGTCATTCCATCTCACAGAGGGTGAAAGAGTATTTGATTTGTTCTAAATAAATATTTTTACTTTTGAAAGTGTTTAATTTTTTTCTATTTTCTTGAAGATTTTCTATTTTTTGAAGATTTACTAAGTCTGTGCTCAATCTAGCCATATCAAACATAAAGACTTACTTTACTCATAGTTTCTCTTTTCTAATTAAAATATTAAAATTTTTCATTTATTTTCATGTCCTATCCCCTTGATCAGTTCAGCTCTCTTTTTCAGTTTTACTTCTAGTCCTATTATGCCTGTTTTGAGATTTATTAACCAAAATTGCATGGAGTATTATTCCAGATGTGTATGTTGTAGTATAAGCTCACCATTACATTACCTAAGTCTTCTCAGGATGTTCATAAGAGTATTTTGGCAATTATCAAAGAAAAAAATAATCCAAACAACTGTCATTAGTGACTTGGTTAAGTAAATCACAATAAATCATACAGTAGGATAAATTCATGGCCACAGTGTCACTTCCAACTCTTAAGTGTCCCTATAGTATGGAGTAGAACCGTCTCGCAGGGTTTCCAAGGCTGTATGAGTCAGAATCAACTCAACAGCAATAGGCCTGGTTTGGTTAATCCTTACAGAAGCAGACTGCTCCATCTTTCTCCCGTGGAGTGGCCAGTAGGTTTGAACTATTTTTAGTTAGCAGCGTAGTGCTTAAACACTATACAACCAGGGCTACCTTACAGTAGAGTACTATCTAGCAATTTAAAAGCTTTAAGCAGTGCTATATTTGCTTACAACATATTTGCTTACATGGAAAGATTACTAAAATGTATTATTAAAAGAAAAAATAATTTGCAAAGCATTATATATGATATAATCCCATTTGTATAAAATAAACTTACACAGACTATGCACAGAAAAACTTGGAGACACAGAGAGTTTAACACTTTCTGGAGAGTGGAACTGTGGAAGGGCTTTTTCTTTATTAGTAAGTAATGCTCTAATGCTTGAATTTTTTATAATGTGGATGTATTATTATAATAAGGAAAAGACAATAAAGATTCTTTTTAAAAGGAAAAACTGTTAATATGAAAAAGAGACGTGGCAAGTGGTAGGCTACTGCTGGACTTCCAAGCATATACTGCAGGAATTCTAAACCCCAGGACTGTGCTACTTGGAAATATCCTCAGACGCAGAAGGCCATGGTTTGCTTAAGCTAGGCATAATTTTTTTTCTCTTTCCTGGCAGCCCAACTGCATATATTATATGTCCAGCTAGAAACTAACGTGGAGTAGGGGAACTATGGTGGTGCAGTGGTTAAGGCATTTGGCTGCTAACCATAAGGTTGATAGTTCAAACCCACCAGCTGCTATGGCCTCAGGGCCTCGGGCAGTCAGCTGCCACACCCAAGGCTGGCGGTTCAAACCCACCAGCCACTCCCCACCAGGTAGCCGGGGCCGTCTCTTTTAGGAGCTCTGGTAGCATAGTGCCTAAGGCACTTGACTGCTAACCAGAAGGCTGGCGGTTCAAACCCACCAGCCACTCCTCAGAAGGAAGGTTGGGCATTCCTACTTCCGTAGTGATACTGCCTCGGAAACCCAAGGAGGGGTCGCTATGAGTCAGGGCCGATTCGATGGCAAATAACAACAACAACAACAAGAAGCTGCTGTGCAGAAGAAAGATGAGGCAGTCTGCTTCCATAAAGATTTACAGCCTTGGAAACCCAAGTCACTATGAGTCAGAATCAAGTCAGTGGCATTGAGTCTGGCTTTTGGTTTGATCCTATGCCTAATCTGCACTCAGGTAGGCAGTGATTTTCTGAGATAAAAGGGAAAATTCTGATAATTTTTTCCTTCCTATATATAAGTAAGCTGCTATGAATGGGAACTGACTCAATGGTAACAGGCTTGGTTTTTTGGTAAAGACGTATTTTCTCAGATATGTTGAGGAGAAACTTATCCATTTTAATTTCCTGGTGGCACAATAAAGAGCTCAGTTGCTAACCAAAATGTCAGCAGTTCAAACCCATCAGCAGCTCTGTGGGAGAAAAGATGTGCCAATCTGGTTCCATAAAGATTTATAGCCTTGGAAACTTCATGAGGCAGTTCTACTCTGTCCTGTAAGGTTGCTATGAGTCAGAATTCTGACTTGATAGCAATAGATTTGGTCTATGGAGTTAAACCCTTGGAAACTCTACTTCAGGAACCACAAAAAAAAAAAAAGATCACTGAATGCTTAATCAAATCGCATCTGCTGGGTTGTTCGTATTTTGTCAGAAAGTTTGAATTTTAACACAAAATATGTGGGCAATCAAGATTTGTTGAAAGTTATTATAAAAGGTAGAATTCATAGACTAATATTTACACTTACTTGATACACTGATAGATCCTTGTCCTGCAGCTCAGCTGCCTTGGAATATTGTTCAAATGGTGGAGAACAAAAAGACTCAAAATTCACCTCTGCTATTTGTGTACAACCTTCATCAGTCTGAGACATACTGGGTTCCACTCCTACACATTCATTTCCAGCACTGAGATTCTTGCTTCCCTCTTTTCTGTGACAGATGGGTTCCACTATGGCATCCGACAGTGTGTTCAGGGCTGCCAACAATTCAGCTGGCAGTGCATCATCCTCTCTGTTTTCTAATACATCTATGGAACATGCCCATGAGACATTCAAGGGGGTTTGTGTTGAACTCTGAGAGTCACTCAATGGGTTCAACAACTCTATAGGTTCAAAATCATTCATTATTTGAAATGGTCTTTCCTCCTGGGTATTTTCTGGTGATGTTTGTAACCTTTCTAAGGCAGACACAAAAGTTTCAATAGAGCTTTCTTCATCTTTGGTTTCTTCCGAAGTCATAGTCAATGTGACTTTCTTTACAGGCTCAGAAAACGTATTTTGTGCTACTATCGTCTCTGGCTCTATTAATGATTTCTCATTCACAGCAACCATACCAGACACTATAATAGCAGTACCTGAGAGAAGGCTAATTTCAGGAGAATCTTCATCTTCACTTAGAGCCTGTGCATTCCAAACAGAAATTCCACCATTACAACTTATACAAAAAAACTTTAAAGTTTTATATTTTGTTGGTAAGTTATCCCCTAAAAGTTTTATCAACTTTCTTCCCCTTCCACAAATAAAAGGAATACTCTTTATCACTTTCCTATACCAAATTAATAATGACTCAGAACACAGGAGTAAGTATTTAATAATGGACTAAGGGTAAAATTGTCTGGACCATAACTACATATGGAAAATTATCTATTCATTTAAATTTAAATTATCCATGCTAATGGAAGAGACAGAGATGGCATGGATAGTCAAATTTAACTGATGATCTCAAAACTTCAGTGTAAGAAATGGTTATAAATTTCTCTCTTTCCAAAAATTGAGTCTATAAACAAAATTAAAATTTGGGTAGTTTCATCTTTTTAATCCCCACTGTTGTATAAATATGTAAATGTGAAGTAAAAAGGCCAAAGAACAGGAAGTCAGAGGGAAAAAGAAGAGAAAAGAAGGCATAGTTCTATATGAATATTATGAGCCCTGACCAATGAATTAATGGCTCTGGGCTGTAGTTGTTTTAAACAAAAAACATATCAGAACTTATATTTCTAAATGACTACTATTTTTCAAAGGTATCATCTTAATCAGTTATTAACCTATTTTCACCATGTTTCCAATGCTCAAAATGTTACCGGGATTTCTCTGTTGAAATTGCTTTCAAAATTAGTTTTTAAGCCATTCGAGAAAATAAGTCTCAATATTTTAAAGGCATTGGACTTTTCTTCAGCACTAAAAATTGTTAATGTGCTTGGCTTTAAATAACAGAATGGGTTTCAATGGCTTTTAGCTATTTCCAAAATTCAAATCGACCTTCCACTGACACACCACTCTCACAGAGCAACTGCATTGCAACTTGGAAGCCCTCTAAATACTAATTTGGTTTGAATCGAGAAGTGCAAACTATTCATCCCCCCTCCCCTCCTTTTCTACCTGCTACCTTTTTTTATCTTCTCTTTATATAGCATACAGAACTTAATGTGAAATATTTATTTATTAGTAATGCAAACTATGCTCGGAAGTATAAAGGTAATTAGGAAGGAATTCAAGGATGAGATCCTACTGATTCTTTGAGTCACAGCCCAAGGCCTCCCATCAATTTAAAGTTCTCTATTAAATTCAAGGCCTTAAGGTGTAATAAGTATATAGCATGAACTCTGCCCTAAAGCTACTTAATTTCTAACCGAAGATTCAAGGCAGAAATATGTAAGACATAAAATAAAATATAAATGTCACAGACTAGTATATATCAAAGAGTTCCACACAGCACTAGTGTTTTGCAAGAATAGTTTTTCTGGGGTAGGAAGGGAGTTTACATGGTAAAGTTTGAAAAAATGCTTGGTTAAACAAAGTTAAACCAGTTTCTTAGCACAAGACTTTCATAGCATGTACACTGTAATTCTCTAAGTAGAGGCTTTAGGATATGGCATTCTCCAAACTTTTTTGTCCAAAATATTGCTTTTCCCTGAAAACCAAGTGATTAAGAAATACTGATACAGTCAGTGAATAACTAATGCTAAAGAGGGAGAAATTACTTTGGTCAAGATCACCAAAATCATCTAAGACAGATGCAGAGAAGAGAAAAGACTTGAGTCAGAAATGAATGATTTGTGAAGTCAAAGAAGGGAGGGGACATACATCTACTAAACACCAACTTGATGTCAGACACCATGAAGCACCATTATACTCAGTCCTCACAATAACGCTGTGAGAGATATTGCTACTGGTATTTTATGGATGAAAATAGGAGATGGCATTGGAATGCAGGCCTATCTTGTTCCAAATTTTATGCTGTTTCCCTTTCCTTCTGGTTTCTGACTTGAACAAAGGCATGGAGCCAGGAATATATAAGGCAGTGTTGAGATGAAGGTACAGGTATGGTTGAGCTGGCTTGGGGAGATCCTTGACTGATTGGTAGCCCTAAGGAGTGTGTAAGTCCATTGTGGGCAGAGTCAGTCTAATGGCCTCTGATTCCCAACAGCACCAGGCAGAAGGCAAAGCCAAAGCAGTCACTTGACAGCAACTAGAAGATGGGAAAGCAATACATAGAAGGAAATATTAAAGGAACTAGGGTAACAGATAAACCAACACAAGGCATTTTTGCTACATAATCTCAGTGGTTAGTTTGATAATAAGTAATATGCTTTTCTTCTAGATAAAGAGTAAGAGGCTTACGTTGCTAAATGAGAAACATAGATTAAGAAAACACTATTTTATTAGTGATAAGGTGAAATGAGGGAGCTCTGGTAGCATAGTGCCTAAGGCACTTGACTGCTAACCAGAAGGCCGGTGGTTCAAACCCACCAGCCACTCTTTGGAAGAGAGGTTGGGCAATCTACTTCCATAGTGGTACCACCTCAGAAACCCAAGTTGTTATGAGTTGGGTCCAACTGGAAAGCACATAACAACAACAAGAAGATGAAATGAATAATTGAAAGGGTCATTGGATAAGAATAGATTTCTTTTTGAAATGGTTTTTCTGTATTCCTGCCTAGGGGAAGAGCCTAAATGGCTTTGACATTTTAATCAATATAATTCTTTACAAAATCTAAACTCATGATCTACATAGATAATCTCTATTACACAGACCAACCTTTTCTTGGTGTGGTAAAACCACAGTATTTTCAGTCTCAGGCCCTAGAAGAGAACACAGATATTTTCATTCCAATTTTATTAAAGTACTAAAAAAAAAAAAAAGATATTCTCTTAGTCAGAAGTTCTTCATCATATATTTTGGAATGAGTCTGAAAGAATATGGCATAGAAAATATACTACAATATTATATCAATCTATTGATATAAAGGAGCTCTGGTAGCGTAGTGCCTAAGGCACTTGACTGCTAACCAGCCACTCCTCGGAAGGGAGGTTGGGCAATCTACTTCCATAGTGATACCGCCTCGCCTCAGAAACCCAAGAAGGGGTCGCTATGAGTCAGGTCTGACTCCGCGGCACATAACAACAACAACAGAGTTAGTCATGAAAAAGAATAACCTACGTAGGGGGCAAAAGGAATCAGGGGATCATCCTGAGGAATATGGAGGATTTCTGTCTTGTCTCTTGTGACTTCACCTATACAAACCCACTCCTTACTCTGCCCTCTCTGAGCTGAGATGGCTGATAGCAATTCACATCAGGTTAGGCTGGTGTGGGAGAATGAGGAAAAAAGGTATTTTCTCCTACTCCACTTCTCTTGCCTTCTTCCTTCACCATCAAGATACAGATACTCTGACATACTGGGAAGGAATTTAAGGCTCATTGGCATTTTAATCATATGTTTGAGTCATTCTCTTGGTTTCTTTTAATTAGGCAATATCTACACAGCCTAATTACACATAATTACATACAGATAAAGTATGTAATCATCTGCTGAACCTCAGAATGCATCCTCACAAGAAAGATAGGTTTTTTTAGTGGAATAACCTGTCCTCAAATTCTACAAATTGTGTTTTATTTTTCTCCCTTCATCTTGGCCAGTTGGTGATGAAAAACTATGAAAACTAAAACCAAATATAAGAGTTAAAACCATAGCATTCCACTCCTTTACAGAACAATGACCAAAAGCCATAAGAACAAATAATTTCTCACCTTTGCTTTAGAATCCAACCACTAATAGTATATATTACATTATCTCTATCTTAAGTGTTCAAAATTTTATCTCAAGTTGCTTAAAATTTAATACCAATGAAAGAAATATTTTTAAACAATAGTTTATCTTCCATTATCTTTTAAATTGTTTTCTTTTATAATCCTTAGGGGGAGGAGGAATTATAAATTTATAAACAGAGAAAAAGATTTTCCCCTCTTTCTCCTTCTCTGAGCTACAAAGAAGAAACCCCAAAAGCATCATCTCCCATGTTGTCTTTAACCACTTTATCATGAAAATGATCATTCTTTATGCCAATAGTTGCTATTTAAAAAATCTGAAAAGCATCCAGGGCTCTCAGAAGGCCACACAGAGCAGGAGTTTGGAACTATGGAAAATGCAAGATGTAGTGGAATCACATTTGTCTACAAAATGAGATTGGGTATAAGAAAAAATGGGAATAGATTTCTGTCTAACTATTGCTGATACCTGTTATGAAAGTTAAAACTCAAGGGCAAAATAAAATATGCCCAAGACATCCATGAAAAAAGAACTTCAATCTCTAAAATGGTTCTATAGCTTTATAAAAATAGCTGTTTATATCTATAATTGAATCTCCTAAAAAGTGCTAAATAGATTTTCACCAAATTGCATAGTGGTTAAAGCATTCAGCTGCTAATGAAAAGGTTAGTTGTTTGAACTCACCAGCTGCTCTGTGGGAAAAAAGATGAGGCAGTCTGCTTCCATAAAGATTTACACCCTTAGAAAATCTATGGGACAGTTCTACTCTGCCCTATAGGGTTGCTATGAATTGGAATCAACTTGATGGCATTGAGTCTGTTTTTCTTTTTTGATATTTGGCATAGTCTGAATTAAAATATTAGGTTATTTGATATTAATGCAATTTCTTCAAAACCACAAAGGTTTTTGTATTTGGAGAATAACATCCATCACCCTTTCCACTTATATTTATTTAATGGTCAATTTATTACACTTTTATATCTATCGGTTCAGAAATACTGTTTATTTAACATTAAACTTTGATTGCCAACTTAAATTCCCTTAGACAATTTAAACTACATAACATATTTTTAACCATTTCAGACATCTTAAATAAAAGACAAAACATAAAATACAATAGTTATAACACTTACTACTGTTGTTAAACTAATTCTAAAATAATAATTGTGTGTCTGTATGTGTGTATTAGATACCATAGAGTTGGTTCCAAATCATAGTGACCCTTTACACAACAGAATGAAAAACTGCCCTATCCTGCCATGTTGTCTTTAACCACTTCATCATGAAAATTATTCTTTATACCAATAGTTACTATTTTAAAAATCCAAAAAATTACTAAAATAATTTATAGTAATTTGATTATATTAAAAATTACATCAAATTATAAATTATATTGAATCTTCCCCCAAACTCACTGTCAATGAGTCAGTTACAACTCACAGCAACCCCCACTGGGTTTCCAAGGCTATAAATCTTTATGGAAGCAGATCGTCTCATCTTTCTTCCATGGAGGGCTGGTGGTTTCAACCACTGACCTTTTGGTTAGCAGCCAAATGCCTTATACCACTATACTACCAGAGTTCCTTACTTCTTCAAGTCATTCAAAGTTTTAAAACATTCCATTATATGTATTTTAATGTGGCACTCTATTTCCATAAAGATTTACAGCCTTGTAAACCATATAGAGCAGTTCAACTCCGTTCTGTAGGGTCAGCATGAGTCAGAATTGACTCAATGGCAACAAGTAACTAGTATCATTATGAACTCACAGTCTTTTTGCAAAATTATTTCCATGAACTAAAATAATTAACTTTTTCCCTGCTTACATCATCGCATTTGCCGGGAAAGAAGCAAGGCAGTACAGCAGGTTTGAAGTGGCCTGCAAGACACCAGGAAGGAAGGAAGGTGGCACTGTGGGTTTGGAGCAGCCTGAGGGAGGCTGGAAAGGAAGTGAGGCAGTGCAGCAGGTTTGGAGCAGCCTGAGGGAGGCCAGGAAGGTAGTAATCCAGCACAATAGGTTTGGAGTGGACTGAGAGAAGCTGGGAAGGTAGTGTGGCGGGGCGGAGGGTTTGGAGCAGCTGAGGGAGGCTGGGAAGTGAGTGGAGTGGTTTGGAACAACTAAGAGAGACAAACTTATCTGTCAGTTTCTCACAGTGTGGTCATTGCTAAGACAGATTCAGAAGAAGGAAGAGGCCATCCACTTCTCAAAGAATTGGTCAGTGAAAACCTTATGAACAGCAGTAAAACACTGTCTGATATATTACTGGGAAACTTTATGAATAGCCCTGAAGCACCCAATATAGTGCTGGAAAATGAGCCCCTCAGATCAGACAGCATTCAAAATAGAACTGGGGAAGAGCTGCCTCCTCAAAGTAGAATGAACCTTAATGATGTAGACAGAGTAAAGCTTTTGGGACCTCCATTTGTTGATGTGGTATGACTTAAGATGAAAAGAAAAAGCTGCAAATATCCATTAATAATCAGAACATGGAATGTATACAGTATGAATCTAGGAAAACTGGAAGTTGTCAAAAACGAAATGGAGCACATAAAGATCAACATTCCCGGCATTAGTGTGTAGTGTCTAAGGCGCTGACTGCTAACCAGAAGGCTGGCGGTTCAAACTCACCAGCCACTCCTTGGAAGGAAGATGGGGCAATCTACTTCCGTAGTGATACTGCCTCGAAAACCCAGGGAGGAGTCGCTACGAGTCGGGTCCGACTTGACGGCACATAACAACAACAACAGTGAGCTGAAATGGACTGGTGTTGGTCATTCTCAATCAGACAATCTACATGATCTACTACACCACGATTAACAAATTGAAGAGGAATGGCATGCCATTAATCATCACAAAAAAATGTATCAAGATCTATCCTGAAGTACAATATTGTCATTGATAGGATAATATCCATACACCTACAAGGAAGACTAGCTAATACTACTATTATTCAAATTTACACACCAACCATCAAAGCCAAAGATGAAGAAATTGAAGATTTTTACCAACTTCTGCAGTCTGAAATCGACCAAACATGCAATCAAGATGTGTTGATTATCACTGGTGATTAGAATCCAAAACTTGGAAACAAAGAAGAATCACCGGTAGCTGGAAAATATGGCCTTGGTGATAGTAACACTGAAGATCACATGATAGAATTTTGCAAGAACAATGACTTACTCATTGCAAAAACCTTTTTCAACACAAACGGTGGCTATACATGTCAACTTTGCCAGATGAAGTACACAGGAATCATACTGACTACATCTGTGGCAAGAGGCAATAGAGAAGTTCAATATCTTCAGCCGAAACAAGGCTAGGAACTGACTGTGGAACAGACCATCAACTGCTAATACAAAAGTTCAAGTTGAAGCTGAAGACAACTTAAAAAAAAGTTCATGAGAACCAAAATACGACCTTGATTATATCCCTCCTGAATTCAGAGACCATCTAAAGAATAGATTTGATGCACTGAACATCAATGACAGAAAACCAAAGGAATTGGGGGTTAACATCAAGAACATCATCCATGAACATCATCCATAAAGGTCATTAAAAAGACAGAAAAGGAAGAAGAGACCAAATTGGATGTCAGAAGGGACTCTAAAACTTGCCCTTAAATAGAGAGTAAGTAGCTAAAGCAACTGGAAGAAATTACAAGATAAAATAACTGAATAGAAGATTTCAAAGAGCAGCTCAAGAAGACAGTCAATTATAATGAAATGTGTAGAGACCTGGAGTTAGAAAACCAAAAGAGAAAAACACACAAGGCATTTCTCAAGCTGAAAGAACTGAAGACAAAATTCAAGCCTTGAGTTGCAATACTGAAAGATTTTATGGGCAAAATACTGAATGATGCAGGAAACATCAAAAGAAGATGGAAGGAATACACAAACTCACTGTACCAAAAAGAACTGATCAATATTCATCCATTTCAGGAAGTGGCATATGATCAAGAACCAGTGGTACTGAAGGAAGAAGTCAAAGCTGCACTGAAGGAAATGGCGAAAAACAAGGCTCCAGGAACTGACAAAATACCCATTGAGATTTTTCAACAAATGGACACCACACTGAAGGTGCTTACTTGGCTATGCCACGAGATTTGGAAGATAGTTACCTGGCCAACTGATTGGAAGAGATCCGTATTTGTACCCATTCCGTATTTGTACCCATTCCAAAGAAAGGTGATCCCACAGAATGTGGAAATTACTGAACAATATCATTAATATCACATGCAAGTAAAATCTTATTGAAGATAATTCAAAAACAGCTGCAGCAATATATTGACAGAAAACTTCCAGAAATGCATTCAGAAGAGGACATGGAATGAGGGATATCATTGCTGATGTCAGACAGATCTTGGCTCAAAGCAAAAATACCAGAAAGATGTTTACTTATGTTTTATTGACTATGCCAAAGCATTTGATTGTGTGGATCATAACAAATTATGGATAACATTGAGAAGAATGGGAATTCCAGAACATTTAACTGTACTCATGAGGAACCTTTACATAGATCAGGAGACTGTCACTCGGACAGAACAAGGGGATACTGCATGGAAGGAAGAGAGTGCATCAGGGTTGTATCCTTTCACCATACTCATTCAATCTGTGTGCTGAGCAAATAATCCGAGAAACTGCACCATATGAAGAATAATGTGGCATCAGGATTGGAGGAAGACTTACTAACAACCTGTAATAAGCAGATGACACAACTTTGCTTGCTGAAAGTGAGCATGACATGGAGCACTTACTAATGAAGACTGAAAACTACAGTCTGCAGTATGGATTACACCTCAATATAAAGAAAACAAAAATCCTCACAGCTGGACCAATAAGCAGCATCACAATAAATGGAGAAAAGATTGAAGTTGTCAGAGACTTCATATTACTTGGTTCTACAATCAACTCCAATGGAAGCACCAGTCAAGACATCAAAAGACATATTGCATTGGGTAAATCTGCTGCAAAAGACCTTTCAAGTGATGAAGAGCAAAGATGTCTCCTTGAAGACTAAGGTGCGCCTAACCCAAGCCATGGTATTTTCAATTGCCTCATATGCATGTGAGAGCTGGACAATGAATAAGGAAGACTGAAGTAGAGTTGATGCTTTTGGTTTTGGCAAGGAATATTGAAAGTACTGTGGACTGCTAAAAGAACTAACAAATCTGTGCTGAAGAAGTGCAGCTGAATGCTCCTTGGAAGCAAGAAGGGCTAGACTTCATCTCACTTACTTTGGTCATGTTGTCAGAAGGGACCATTCTCTGGAGAAGAATATCATGCTTGGTAAAGTGGAGGGTCAACAAAAAAGGGGAAGGCCCTAAACTAGGTGGGTTGACACAGTGGCTGCAACAGTGGGCTCAGGTATAGCAAGGATTGTGAGGCCGGCACAGGACTGGGCAGTGTTTCATTTTGCTGTATGTAAGGTCTATGAGTTGGAGACGGCCCAGCGGCACCTAACAACAACAACAACAACAATACATCATCACAGTTTGGCTAGCTCTGTCTCCTTTCAGCACTGTCCCCAGAAGACAGTATCTTTGCTTTTCAGCAATGACAGGATGTTTCAGACCCACTCTTCATGGTCCAATGGGTCAACTGTCCTTCAAGGATTCCTGATTTATTTTAGTATAAATACACCCATATAGCACCCATACCCCTGGCACTAAAGAATGAACAAATAGTATTAGAATCCAATATTTAGGCAGTAGGAGTAAATGCAAGAGTTGATGGTGAGCAAAATGTGGTACTGCTTTTGTTGGGCCACTTTCAGTAGCAACAGGAGGAAAAGGCAGTATTTTCAATTTCAAATATCATTTCACTGTTCTCTTTTCTTATAATACAGGGTTTCTTTGACCACTAAGAATTTTCACTATATCGTCATACAACATACATGAAATCCACTCTGGAGGAGTCTCTGAGAGAGACTCAGGGAGAAAGATAATCATTGTCTAAGACAACAAAAACCAAGGTACAATTAATCACTGCAATGACTGCCAGTCAAGAGAGACATGCAATACATATTAAGGATGTTATGAATAGAGAAAAGAAACATTGTTTTCAAAGTTGAGTTCCAAATAACAAGTCAAAGGAGCAGACATTTGGAATAACAGATATTGATTGCAACTGAACTACTTTATGGGCAACTCTATGCAGCAAGGTCAGTAGCAGCATTGATTACAAATGTAAAGATGGTTAATGATCCCCTCTCCCCCAAGCAGTGTACGGTAGACCAACCTAGCTGTAAATTAATCTATATATAGCAGTAAATAAGCTTCTATTTCTGGCAAAAACAAAATATCTTTATGATTCTACCTATAAAAACATACCTTGAGTGTTTTTGTGATTCATTGAAAGTGCAGTCTGTGGAACCAACACAGTGAACACTGGATAATTTGTTCTAGTCCTAAAAAAGTTAATTAACTAATTAATTAAAATACACTTTAAAGTAGAAAGAAAATAAAAGAAACACTATTTCTCATTCAAAAGTAAGCTTTTTTTTTTTTTTCATTTAAAGGGCTTTTAAAATAGGACTTTTTCTTGCTACATCATTGCAATTACTTTTACAAAAGGCTGGCAAGTTCAAACCCACCAGCCACTCCTCAGAAGGAAGATAGAGCAATCTACTCCCATAGTGATACTGCCTCGGAGACCCAAGGAGGGGTTGCTATGAGTCTGGTCTGACTCGACGGCATGTAACAACAACAACAACATGAATTTGTTGACATTTACATTTCAAATGATTGCAAAAACGAAAGAAAGAGCTGAAAAATTAATGGTTGAGTTTTAAGAGTTTAAACAACTAACCATCATACATTTAGGTCTGAAAGTGACTTTGGAGATGATTGACAAATAGGGCTGGTGGTCTCAAAGAGAAAGTTACATTAAATCATGTAGCTTAGTTATCTAAAATCTATATAGCTTAGTGTATCAAATACACTGAATGTTTCTCATTACAATTTTAGATGTAGTGGAAACCACTAATGAGAAAATTCTCAGCCACTATTTATCATTTTTGTATTTCAGAGCAGATATAGCAAAGGAATAAAATATTGCAGGGAATAGGTTGAAAGCAAAATAAGGATCATACTTAGCTATCTGCCATTTTGATAATGTGCCTTTGGATAATTAAAAGTTGACTGAAGAAAAGCAATCAGTTAAGCCCTCCCCCCCACACACACACAACCTAATTTACTGTATAAACGCAATCAAGATACCTTCCTTTAAAAAAAAAAAAAAAGTCTCATTTCAGCTGTTTTAAGGGCAGTTTTTATGCACCAGTCATAGCTACTTGAGTCCTAAGCAAGAATAATAAATTGAGCATTCTCTCTCGTCCAAAAACAGAAGTGATCAATACAAGCTATCTTGGAAATGGAAATGGAACTACTCAAATAGAATGATAATTTAATGGAGGCAAATAGAAAAGAATACTGATTCAATACAATTCTTTGAGAACAGTCATGTTGAAAATAAAACCATAGAATTGACAACAGAATTTATTTTAGTTACAAAACAGAATGTAAGTCTGAAAATAGAGCAAAACTATATCTAAATTATTAGAAAATAGTTACCTATAATAATCAAAATTACAAACAACCCACATGTCTAATATTGAACCACTGAGTGATCCAGATCTTCCTAATGTTTCTTTAAGAAATTCCCCACCCTCAAAAAAATCACCTTCATAAATATCACCACTGATATAATCAGAAAATTTCAAGTGTTGGAAAGCCACCTAGGTTGTGGTGACAGATACAAGATTTCCAAAAATCCAATTTTCACTTGAAAGCTTGAATTTTTTCTAGGCATCAGATACCATCAGCTATTTTTCTTAAAGTAACCAGCTTATTTCATTCATTTTCAAGAAAATGGCAGCCACATACCCAAGTGTGAACAATCAGTTTGCCTGCCAGTTATTTTTTCAAAAAAGTGCTCCATGAAAACAGCGGCTAGTTCTGTTTAGTGGTTTCCTCAACACAACCATCAGACTTCACTATGCACAGAAGTGCTTTAAGCATCCTTCTCCCATTTCCTCACACAAAATATGAGGAAATTTAATAAAAGGAGTAACTTTTCTGCTTCATCAAATACTTCTTAACTGAAACTATCTTTTTTTCTTTTAAATGTGAGTACATGGCAAACACAATGACTATTAACTAGCATTATTTGATGCAACTGTCCTAATTTCTACTAAGGTGCCAGCATGTTACCTACCATTGTGTTAACACTATCAATGCAAATGTCAACACTGTGAAACAGGCAAATAATGTTAGTATGAAAATAGTTTTGATCTTGTAGACGATAAGAAAGGGTCTCAGATTCTCCTAATGGGTCCATAGACCACACTTTAAGAATCACTGCTTTAAAAGAGGAGCTCTGGTGGCTCAGTGCCTAAGGAATATGACTGCTAAACAGAAGCCTGGTGGTTCAGACCCACCACCTACTCCTCGGAAGGAAGGTTGGACAATCTACTTCCGTAGTCATACTGCCTCGGAAACCCAAGGAGGGGTCACTATGAGTTGGATCTGACTCGACAGCAGTGAGTTTGGTTTTTTTTTGGTTTCTTTGGTTTTAAAAGAAATTTAAAAATACAATAAAAAATAAATAATAAAAGAAATGAAAAAATGATGTCTTCTGGAGTATAATAGTTGTATGAAGTCTAAGTCCAATGTTGTTGTTATTGTTAGGTGCCGTCGAGTCATTTCCAACTCATAGCGACCCCATGCATAGCAGAACGAAACACTGCCCAATCCCGCACAGCTCCATGATCCCTGCTACACTTGAGCCCATCATTGCAGCCACCGTGGCAATCCATCTCGTTGAAGGCCTCCCCCTCTTTCATCGACCATCCACCCTACCAAGCATGACATCCTTCTCCAGGGAATGGTCCCTTCTGACAACAT